TCAGGACATTTCTCCTTAGTTCTAGGTTGCTTCTCTCCTTGATTAGTTTCCACCCATTGCTTTTTGTCCTACCCTCAGATGCTTTGGAGAATAGCTTGACTCCCTCATCTTTGGGGCAGCCCCTGAGATATTGGAGCATTGCATATTGGGACCAGACCTGACCAATATTTTGTCCACAGGGCGTTTATTATTTGCCGGCTACAACGACTACACCATCAACGTTTGGGATGTCCTCAAAGGATCACGTGTCTCCATTTTGTTCGGTCACGAGAACCGTGTGAGCACTTTGAGGGTTTCACCCGACGGGACGGCGTTTTGTTCTGGATCATGGGATCACACTCTAAGGGTAAGGATGTTGTTTTCCTTCCTTCCTTCCTTCCTTCCTTCCTTCCTTCCTTCCTTCCTTCCTTCCTTCCTTCCTTTTTCTTTCCTTCCTTCTTTCTTTCTTCCTTTCTTTGTTTCCTTTCCTTCCTTCCTTCTTTTTTCTTCCTTTCCTTCCTTCATTCCTTCCTTTCCTTCTTTCTTTTTTCTTTCCTTCCTTCTTTCCTTCTTCCTTCCTTCCTTCTTTCTTTTTTCTTTCTTTCTTTCCTTCTTTCTTTTTCTTTCTTTCCTTCTTTCCTTCCTTCCTTCCTTCTTTCTTTCTTTCTTTCTTCCTTTTCTTCCTTCTTTCCTTCATTCTTTCTTTCCTTTCTTCCTTTGTTCTTTCCTTCTGTCCTCCCTTCTTTTTTCTTTCTTTCCTTCCTTTCCTTCCTTCCCTTCCTTCTTTCTTTATTTTTTCCTTCCTTCCTTCTTTCTTTCTTTCTTTATTTTTCTCTTTCCTTCCTTCTTTCTTTTTTCTTCCTTTCCTCCCTTTTTTTCTTTTTTCTTTCTTTCCTTCTTTCTTTCCTTCCTTCCCTTCCTTCTTTCTTTATTTTTTCTTTCTTTCTTTCTTTCTTTCTTTCTTTCTCTTTCCTTCCTTCCTTCCTTCTTTCTTTTTTTCTTTTTTCTTCCTTTCCTCCCTTCTTTTTTCTTTCTTTCCTTCTTTCTTTCCCTTCCTTCCTTCCTTCCTTCTTTCTTTCCTTCCTTCCTTCCTTTCTTAACTTCCTTTCCTTCCTTCTTTCTTTTTATCTTTCCTTTCTTTTTTCTTTCCTTCCTCTCTCCCTCCCTCCCTTCCTTTCCTTCCTTCTTTCTTTCTTTGAATCCCTGTCACATAGCTAACCATTGTTTGATGTTTTTCTCCACAGATCTGGGCTTAAGTAGCAGGGCGGTTTCCCAACATGTGTTCACATAGGGAATCATAGGATCGCCACCCTCCCACGGAACATCAGTTTAATGGGGGGAGGAAATCTGCCGCAAAGACGACCCTAAATGGATGGTGAAAAGATGGAGAGAGACACCTTGTTAGTATTTATCACATAGCTGCCCAATTCAGAGCTACTTCTTAGATAGACTATATTATAAACCTATATACCTTTATCATACGCGGGAGCGCTGGGCGAGAGGGTTTATGTGTTGCTATAGTCAGAACATGTTTATAATTCTGNGCTGTGATGACGTCAGGTACGCGGTTTCGTCGAGCGCGCTTTAGTCGAACACGGTTTTATGGTGGAACTGTGTCCTGTGGTGATAGTTGGGTTAACACGGACTCATGACTTTGTACTGAAGGTTTTGTCTGTGTGTGACAATTATTTCAATCTCAACCACATTTTTAACCTAGACGACTTTTGCAATAGCCTGAAGGGGAGGTTTAAAATGAAATGTATGTTAAAGAACCATCCTTTTCTTTCATCTTGTTCTCTCATTCTGTGGCATTTATTTTGGGGTGGTTTAACTTTTTTTTTTTTTACAGATATCTATAGTCCTTGAGTTATGGCTGTAATGGAGCCTGCCATTATGACGGCTGTTAAGTGAGGCACCCATGTAACCGCCTCACTTAATGCACTCCATCCCTGCTCTCCCCAATTTAATGTGGTGGTTAAGTGGAGCATGCGGTGCCTCAGGGTTCTGGGGGGCTCTCAGAGGTCTCGTGTACTTCCTGGCCTGCTTGCCCCAGATCTCCCCAAAATTTATGTTAAGAGGCCATCCTTTTTTTTTATTCTTATTCTCTCATTCTGTGGCATTTCTTTTGGGGTAGTTTAACTTTTTTTTACGGGTATGGGTGGTCCTTGACTTATGGCTGTAAAGGAGCCTGCCATTATGGCGTTTGTTAAGTGAGGCATGTAATCGCTGCACTTAATGCACTCTCCCCAATTTAATGTGGTTGTTAAGTGAAGCATGAGGTGCCTGAGAGTTTTGGGGGGTTGTGGGAGGCCTTGTGTAATCCCTGGCCCACTTGCCCTGGACTTCCCCAAACCTCCTTCACCCCCTGAGGCACCCTGTGCTTCCCCCCCCCCCCCCCGGAGTCCCAAATAGGCCTTGGACCTACTAACCAGATCCCCACAGGTACCCTGTAGGCTGTGTGGTACCATCCCAGAAGCAGGTGCAATTTCGGAACGGCCACAACAGATTGCTCCAAAAATGACGCCCACTTCTTGGATTGATCCACATGGACTAGGAATGGCGAGGGGCAGAGTGACCTGGTCTCCTTCTCCAGCATGATCTCCAAAGCTTCCAGAAGGAGACCTGCAGTAAAAGATAAGTGATTGGAGATGGGGAAGAAAGTGTGGGACCTGGCAGGGTGGGTCCCTGCAGCGGGTCATAAGGACGAATTCACCAAAATTTTGTTCACGTGATTCTGCAGGAACCATAATTGCAAAACCAGGTCGTAAGTATTTGGGGGGAGGTGAGTGTAACTTTGAACAGTCGCTAAAGGCCAGTCCTAATCAGGGGTGGGCTTAAAATTTTTAGCAAGGGGTTCTCTGCCTGGTTGCTGGGTGGGCGTGGCCATGGGTGTGGCCTAGTCAGCTTCCTGCGGGCCGGGGTGGGTGGGGGTTGTTTTTGATCTTCCCGGGCTCTGGAGGCTTTCCTTGAGGCTCTAGGAGGGCAGAAACGGCCTCCCAGCCTTCCAAAACTTCCAGTAGGCCTGTTTCTCACCCTCCCCAAGCCTCTGTGAGCGCCCTGCACTTGCTTGCATCCAAAACAGGCCGCTGGGGATGCCTCGGAGGGGAGGGGAGGGTGGGCAGGGCCAGCCAGGAGTGGGATTTGGGGGTTCTCCAAACTGCACAGAATCTTAGCTAGAGGTTCTCCCGAATCCTGTCAACCCCCAGCAGTCCACCCCTGTCCTAATCAAGGACTGCCTGTACTCAAAGAAAACATTTGCATTCAGCTCCATGTTTGTTTATATTTTGAGGTGGGGGTGGAAAAAGCCGAAACTTTTCATTGTCTTACTTGATATTCACATTAACGCTCATCTCCATAACTGATGAGTTCCAAGTTTGCAGGTATGAATGATGAGTCCCCTTGAGGTTTATCAAGGATGGATGGCACTGGGAATGCAATCTGAGAATTTAAAAAACGTGGGGGAAGAAAGGGGGAGAGACAAAAATCAATACTGAGATTTATTTTATTTTTACTTTTGTACCTGGACGGCAGAAATGTAGTTAAGGGTTGACCCCTGGTGGAGATTTTCACCACAGCCCTTTTTTTTGGAAGCCTTCCAACATTTAACCATACATTATCATAAATTTATTTTGTTATGACTATAAAATGGAAATCAAACGGTGTGGTAATAAACCTTTGCATTGTGTACTTAAAGATCTTTCTGACAGAAATGGAAGGTCAAAGGACATAAGATCAGCCTAATAAGCGACGATATCTCTGTTCATATATATTTGATCCAAAGAGCTAAAGTTAACATATTTTTTTAACATTTTGAACTTTTGGTTATATCACTTTCCTTTACAATTTGTCACCCAAATATGGCTGGTAATCTCAAGATTTTGAAAGTAATGTTGCCTTTTTATTTCCCCAGAAAGTGGTTTTTTGGAGTTTTCTCAGAGGTGATTTTTGAATCTCCTCAGAGGTGATTCCCACAGGATTCAAAAGTAGCTTGTTTTTTATCGCTAGGGAGTTCCCCTACTCTGGTAATAGATAAATGAACTCCTCTTACCTTTTGATATATTTAATCCCTCTAGTTTAATTTACTTTATTGTCATTGCACGTAGTACAACAAAATTAAATGCTGTCATCAATGTACATTACAATTATAAAAATAAAAACACAAACATACATCCTTTACATTCTGTATAATTAAAATTGAAAACCCAATATTGCATTATACTGTGCAATTTAATATGGTTATTGCCTTGGGATACAAGCTGTTTTTCCGGAGGAATTTTGCAGGATTAGCCAGGATTGGATTGGGTATTGTGATGTCCAATCGAGACAGAGTTAATTTGAAGCCACGCCTCTGTGCTCCTTGCTTTTGGTTCCCAGTTTCAACTCTGTCTGGCCGAAGAAAGACAGGTTGCTTTTGGTTCCTGNGAGAAAATTATATCTGTTGCAAGAACTGGCAAAATTAATGCCTTGGAGGTTTGTGTCGTTTTAAGAGGGCACCCAGGCTTCCCTGAAGCTGCTGGTCGCAAGCGCTTCAGGGGACTGTAACCCCTCACCCAGCGGAGGCTGGCGAGTGGCAGGAGCGGCAGGGGCGGGGGCAGTCCTTCCCCAACTAAGCCCCTGAGGAAAATTCTCTCAAACGGAGGTTTGGGAGCCTGCAGGCCTTCCAGCTAGGGGCCATTCAGCTGCTCAATTCTGCCCGGCAACAGCAGTGACGGTTGGATCCTTCGCGCGCTTTTTGGGCTGTCAGGCTAAAAAGAGCGGGAGGAGGCTGCGCACGCAGCCGCCGCTGTAGCCTTACAATAAAAATAGTATTAGTATTCATGGTTGGTGCTTCTTGTTTGGACTACCTCAAAGAGTTGACATCACTCATGCAAGTTTCATGTTCCTAAGAGAAGCAGAAAATTTCACTTGGAGTTTTAGAAATGGCCTCCAATACCCAGGGACCACTTCTTTTTTTCCTGAATTGCAGGAATGCTGCAAAACCAACAGTAAGTAGATATACAAGTAAGCAGTTTGAGAAACACCATGATACAACTAACACAACAACTGGGACGGAATTTGCCTCAACCAATATAGCAGCACCACAACCTGTAGCTTTTCCTCCTATTTCTCAAGGTTATTCCCACATACCTTTAAGGTACTCTACAAGTGAGAGGCTGTCAACATGATCTCCCACTTCCCATCAATGCCAACTGAAAACAATCACTGAGGAAGTAGGTGAGCTGCTGCAACAAGGTGTCTCCCACTCCCAACCCTGCAGCTGGTTAAGGATACAGTGTCAGTGGTATCAAAAGCTGCTGAGAGATCAAGGAGCACAAGGATAGATGCACCATTCCCATCCCAGCTCCACAAAAATCACTGACAGACACAACTGTCATTACTCCTACTATATCCCTGTCTGAAACAAAGATAATTTCTCAAAGATTTGTAGCTGCCACCTAAATACTCCACAGTCTTCCTCACAAAGAGAAGATTGGATTGCAAACTAGATGATAATTGTCCAAAATGGAGACATTTAGTGATGGTCTCTTGAAAAGAGGGCATTCTACCATATCCTTCAAGACTAGAGTGACTACCTATACTTCAAAAATAGAATATAATAGTAAATATGACTTTAAACATAAAGGATAGCCATTTAATATTTACTCATTTAAAATAGTCATAATATTTGAATATATAAAGACATTGGCATCATAAATATAACCAAGTAAATAAACCATTAATGAATTTGCAACATTTTCCTAATTTGCATAAGATCAAAATAAAATGTGATCAAATGTCATTCTGTGATTCAGTATTGGGTTAATATTTGCTTGTTTCATGTACAACATGTATTCTATCTGGAAAATGCTCTTTATTTTTACTCAGTATTTGCAGTGATTGAACCAGTAGCTTTCTGAATGCAAAGCATGTGCTCTGCAACTTTTTAATTAAAACAAACCTTCAAAGTTTTTATACATAATTTAATCCATTGTACAGAATACAGAGTTGGAAGGGACCTTTGATCATCATTGTAATATTCCTGACAAAAAACTATACAGTTTTCCAGAGGAATTTTGCAGGATTAGCCAGGATTGGGTATTGTGATGTCCAATTGGCCTCGAGACAGAGTTAATTTGAAGCCACGCCTCTGTTGCTTCTGATTCCCAGTTTCAAGTCTGTCTGGCCGAAGAAAGACAGGTTGCTTTTGGTTCCTGATTCTTCCAAAAGAGGGGGCAGAGGGGGTGCTGATTG